TATAATTGAAGAATAATAATATTTTTAATCGATATCTATTTTATTTAGTTAAAGTAATTTTATACTGTGAATTAGGATTTCAAGATTCGAATTTAATGCTATCCGGATATCCGTTTATCTGAGTCTTAGTTAATAATTGTGAGTTTAAAATTTCAGATTATTCAGAGAATAATCCAATTTTTTTTAAGACACATGAAAGTAAAAATGTCGAATCCAAATCCGAATATAAATTCACGGTAAATTGAGATTCAAAACTGAATTTGAGTTTTGTAGCGAATATGGATTTGCATTTTATGGTTTTAGATTTGGTAGCTAGGTATGAAAATAAAAAATAAAAAAAGTTAGCTAAAAGAAAGGTTTAAATTTAAGTTCAGATTAGGATGTAATTAGTTTGGATATTTTGATTATTCAATTTATATAGTGATTTTGAGTTTTCGGATCGGAAAAGATTTTTAATATTCGAAGATTTTAATATTCGAATATCTAGATATTTGAATATTTAAAAACCTCAATTATGACATAATGATTATACGTATATTGTTTTTAATGATTAAGATCAATGAAATGTTTCTTTTTGATACGATTGTTTAATTTCTCAAGATTTTTTTATAGTACACGATTATAGTATAATTACACGATGAATCTTTAAGATTTTGCAACCAAAGGATAAATATAAAATAATTCGAAGTGTAAATATAATTTTAGGTGTTAATTTTCTTACCGCATAAAGATGAAAAATTATTTGTCTCACCGAAAGATTCTGTTCTTGAGCAAACTCGTCCAGAACGAATTGCATCCATAGCTTACATAAATCCAATTTGTAACCTGCCGCGTAGTGATTTTTTTCTGTCACGTGGAACTAACGCGACGCGCAATTATATTTCGTTGCGCGCTGATAATCCGATCGACGACAGAAGGATATACTCGCGTTAATAATAAAATTGAATCTCGAACGAGAGGATTTAGTAAAGTTCGAGTTATCTTTCTCGCAGACGGATGTTAATGTCATGGAACTTCCCTAGTCCGCATGTCGCAACCAATCGAATAATTCTGTTGCAAGATGTAGTTTGACTGCGAAGTGAATTATCATGCGCTAAATACGAACACGTGGAAAGTGAAATCATCATATCGATCACGTTCTCCATAAGGTTAAGAGAATCTGCAATCCATAAAGCAACGGAATCTGTGGGTTCTCTGAAGATTCATAAACTTTTGAAAGTATGATTTAACGTGAAATAATTTCGTAATATTTAAAAATTTGTATATATCTAATTTTTTTACAAGAAACATACAATTTTATGTAACAATAAGTATTATTTTCTGTTATAAAATAATATATTTATTTAGAATAAATTGTGGATGCATGTTGTAATTGTGCATGTGTGTAGATTTTTGTCTCACTGATAATGTCTATATTTTATTCCTATCAATTGTAATTTTTTTATGTCTAAACTCATTCATATTGATGTTATATTGATGTTATATTCTTATTGCACAAATTTATAGAAATTTATGATTCAGGAGAAAATTAGAAGATATTATTGGATATTAATACAGTTTTTTTATATGGTACACCTTTCATCGACCTCGCCGTGTCGCTTGATCGAATTAATCTCACATAATTTAATGAGCTTAATAATAATTTAATCCCAGTAATGAATAATTTCTATGTGACAGCCAAGATTTATTCGGTGAGATTATTTGTGGTTATTTCTGTTGGTTCGATGTTCGCGCGTGAAGGTTGCTTTCAACACGCTAAGCGCCAAGGAAGCGATCATTTCTGACACGCCGCTGCAGTTTGCATGTTAAGCAAGGCGATAGGTTTGTATGTCGCTAATTTCGTACACATAGCTAATTCGTACCGTGAATTCACTTGTGCACCGGAATGCACATTGTGTTTTCGTTCATTCAATGTGGACATGAACGACGCGTTAGGCATTTTTCGTCATGAGTCTACTTATTTTTTTTTCTCTCACAATGACGTTAAGTACCAAAGTTAACGTTTGCCTTTGAGCACTTCGCAGCCACTTTTGTACCTTCCTCGAGGCGTGCCATGAAGCAAAAAGAAGAAGATTATACCTTGCATGACTAGTCATTCGGCAAACGACACTCGTTTTACGCATGCATTCCTCCCGACATACCTTCTGGAGGTCTGAGACATGGTAATAAAATCGAGCAAGTAGTTGAAATTTTCTGTTCACGTTATAAATAGCGCATTCGCAATAAAAGATTTGGATAGAAAGCGTCGTGTAATTTTTCATCTACAAAGAATCATTGCACTGTCAATTGCACTGTAAATGATCGATATTGCGACCTTCGAATTGGAAAAACAAGATTCTATCTTTTTTTGATCGATGTCACACTCATTGCGAAATACCGCAAAATAGACGTAGGCGTTAAGGTTCGATCGCTATCTAGCTATCATTCTGGGTGTTTTGTTTATTCATCGGCGATCTTATCGTTTAAAAGTATTTAGCGCGATGCTTGCGTAAATTATATATTCGCACGGAGCAATGCAGTTAACGGGTGAGGTCATAAATCATCGGACTTTACAGTTACTTTTCGGTCTTTCGTTCTACAACAGAAATTAAACGTGAGACGAAGTGGTCAGCAAGGCATAAATTGAGATTTAAAAAAAAAATAACAGGCAGCGTCTGAGGAATAAAAATTTATGACGATTGGGTGTATTGTTGAGACGTCAAAATCTTATTTCTTCACGCGTAAAGCGTTCACCCGAAAAATCCTGCCTTGTAATAAAATCTGGATGAGCTTTAAAACTGTACGGGGCCCATGACGAGCTGCAAGATTTTCGTTAGTCATTAAATTTTTTTTGGTCATAAATTAAGATGCCCACGAACGGGAATTACGCCGGACACAGGCGCAAGGTCGATCGCGATGGTGTTTTGCGGTGCCGCACTTCACTTCACTGTGCTTCACCTATACGCGTAATCGCACAAGTAAGTAAAGTCGTAAAGATTCAAATTACGAGAATTATGGAACTTACACGTAAGATGATTAATGTCTCGCAGGTGGCTGCTTACCATCTTGTTGAGATCCCTCGTTCAATCCGCGGCAATAGAAGTACGTAGATCGTTCTCTTGCGGCAGTACCCGCATTCACGTTTTATTTCTACGACCTTTACGTCGAATTGTTGTAAAATTAATGCAGAAGCGTTCGTAAATTGCGAACGAGAGTAAGAATTAAATTAGCGTTCGGTAGGCAAGGAAACGCCCTGCCCCACCGTGTTGTTGCGGAAGAGGAGAATTTTATTCACATTCTCAAGCCGGAATTAGAATTTTCTAGGAAATGTATGTCGTTTTGCATTTTTATGATATGCATACGCGATGAGGCCGATCTATCCCGCGATTGCTTCGAGCGTGAAAGTTTTAAGTATCGGCGGTATATAAGTGAAACTGAATCTTTTACCACGAATAAATCAATGACTCGTGTGTGTTTCGCGGCTGTGTTGCACGGGCTTCGGTAAAAGTCGCGTCATTATGCACGCGATGTTATTCTAATTAGCTGCCACTATTAATACCAAGACAAACTCGGCGGTACTCGGGCCTGAACGAAGGAGCAAGTTGGATCGTTTCCAGTTACGGAGTACCGCGCACCGCGGTCTATCGAACGTAAAACGAAACCGATAGAAAATGATACCGCCGCACGCTTAAGCGGCTCGCAAAAACCGGAATAATCAAGCATACAGGGTGTCCTGAAAACCGCAATTATATTTTTAATTATGAATTGTATAATAGTTGGCGAAATTTAGTTTTTTTTTTTTTTTTTTTTTTAAACGTAGTATACCGCGAGACACTTCCGTATCGGTGAAATTGCGTGCTTGTGCGTGACGCGCGCTATTGTCGAGCTACCGTTGAGTTGCATCTCCCTTTAAACGTAGGTAAATTTAACATCTTCTCTGTCTCAGGGAACGCAGGTATTCTCACGGATAATAATTGCTGCATAGTTAACGTAGAATATCAGCGCAGCTCGCGAGTGTTCGGGGGAGCTTTTTATCTAGCGTGCTATTTTCCACAATTACTCTCGGCACGATGAGATGCATATTATATGGGAACAATATTGCCCTTCGTTTCCCAACTGGTAGCGAGGTTGTAGAACCTTGTTTTTGCGTTACATAAAACTTGGACGGCTGTCAGGCTTATTAAATATTCATGGTGAATGGTATTATACAGCCGTGTACACGTTGCCCGTGAACCTAATGCATTCAACGCCTTTTACCGGAATATCTCGATTATGAAGATCGCCTCGACCGTTAAGACTCAATATATGCGTTCGTGCGTTGAACTTGTTCCTCACACCGTAGTTCGTGTACATGACCGTAGTTCTGAGTAGCAGATCAACAACGCCAAGATCGTGTCGTCATAAATCATCCGACAAAATCCGGGGACTAAAATAGATCTAACGTCGACACGTACATGTATTTCTCGAATTTCTACCAAGCGGAAGTTGTTCGCGCCGGCAACAAATCAGTTTTATTACATGTCTTGTTAATCATTTGACGATAGAAAGGTGACGTCGATAAACACAAGTGTAATTAATAGCGTAAATTTAATTTCGCTTTTAGAGCCGCGAGTTGCAAGAGCTGTCTGTCGTAAATGTGTGCATAACCTATTAGATTATTAGTTTATTCCGTTTCACCGGATCGCGACGCGCAGTTCCTGATTATGTTCCCGGTTCTCTTTGTGCCGCGCGACGCGAGATTTTCCCGCCGAATCAAGAGATGTTCATCGCGCAACCGTGAAAGTGCCTTCGGGTCCCCGATGCGGAGATCGAAACTTGGATGAGCAGCAGCCACATAAATGGCGGAAGGAACACAGTGAAATAGAAAGCCGGCAGCCGATAAAAAGCGGGGGACACGCGTGATTTCCGCGTGAGATGCCGCGGCTCCCCCTTCCCTGCGCTATTCTGAAGATCGTCGACGAGGTAAGACGTTACTACATCGAGTGGATTATCGAGTCGCAGCTGTCGCGCAACGGACTTACGTCTCTAACGAAATCCTCGCCGCCGTTGGAAGCCTCCTCCACGTTGATACGAATAGCCGACGACATGCTACGAGACGTCGATCCCTCGCGAAGCCACCCTGATAGCGAGCTGTCTTCCAAATGGCTGTCAAAAATTGATGATGCCTCTTGAATCCTCATCGGTATTACCCGGGAGCCGTTCTTCGTCAACGATCACCACTCCTTGGCGGGGGCCGGCTGGTGATCTCCCTTGTATTAATTCACGGATTCCACAAGAAACCCACTGAAAGGGTCACCCTCGAAAAACGAGTTGATTTCTCGCTCGGGTGCTCCGTGCGTGACTATCTAACTTGAGATTCTTGCCCTCTCTCTCTCCTCGATATTTAGAAGGGAGAGATCGTTCTGAAGCGTGTATATCTCAGGGAACGTGTTCTCTTGAAAATAGAATCGAATCGGAGCTCGCCGTCCTTTCTCTCCCTTTGGAGCAGGACAGGTGCCTCGTGGTGATGTCAACTTAATTTCCCTCCGGATATGCACAAGCGCGATCGCGTGAATTTGCTTTCGATCTCTTCGCGAAAATCCTGCACGGAATCACCACCGAGGGATGACCAGTAGTCAGGCTGGTCACTGTCGCATATATATGTATATATGTATGTGCGTGACGCGCGTTTCGCGTCTGCTAAGAGGAGTACCGCACGCCGAATATCTCGATCGTCTCTCTCGCACACGTGCGACTAGAGCCGTCGCCGCATCTGGCCTTTGGACTGGCTGGCACCAGTCCACCAGATCGGTTTTATACCTTCGTATCTCCCACTCTCGTGGACGTGCGAGCGCGCTCGTGCTCGCTCGCTCGTTCGCTCGCTCGCTCGTTCGCTGGCTTTGCGGCACGTCGATTCTGACACACGGACAGTTCCACCACGGCCGAGAGGATCGATCCTTTTTTTCTTCCTTCCGAGACGCATGTACGCGGCGGCGGTCGGGACCCATGTCTCGCGCCTTCTCCATGCGAGGGGAACACTCTGGGTGCTCTAGGCGCAAGGACGAACGGGAGGTTGAGGGAAAGGTCCGCACTTTCGTGCCCTAAGTCCGGGTTGTCATATGTATTGGTCAACCGGATCGCGATCGCTCTCGTTTCTCTCTCATACAGGATACAGGAAATGCGGTGACTGCGGACACAAGCGCATTATCTCTTAACGACCGCATAACGAAATCGAGGAAGTGTGGGCACGCACGCTTCTTATCTCCTCGCGGATTTCGCTGCGCGACACGCCTCAACACGGCGGATTTTACTCTCGTCAAATACAGTCGAGGAAAGGTGTGTATTCTCGTTTTATTTCGACTTTCGACAATGGGTTTTAATATCGTGGGTGGGTCGGGCGTTTCTCGTTTGCCATGTCATTCTTCGGCAATGTATAACACTTGTTTTCTCTACTGTGTACGGCAATTCCGATGATGAATGATGACAACGAATAATTTCTCTCGAGTTATGACGATGGATAGTGATCTTTCGTTTCAATAATTCAATCGAGATTTTATTAATATGGACCTATAAAATATAATAAGGAAATTTTAATTGATTTTGATACGATCGCTCTTAGGGAGGATATAAAATCCTTGAAAAATTCCGCTGATGAAATATTAAATGGCCTCACATTATCGTTAAATTAAACATTAACTCTTGCTGTCACGAAGTATCTGTCTCGTACTTTAACGCAGTAATGAAATATCCGTTTTTTATTCTCGTATGACGAAGTACCTGCAGTCTTGTACTTCGTAATTCACACCGTCCTTCAGTTATGTTTGTCGGTCGTCCAACGCGCGTCCCGGAAGAGCCCGCCTTATCTGGTTTACTTGATTTTTATGCAGATCGGTGTAAGCTGGACTTGACTTTTGGTGGTCTGCATATCGCTCGTCGTCGAGCTGTCGTCACGCACAAACGCGTCCATTATTTCCTACGTGGGTATCGCATGACGACGATACCGATATAACCAAAAGGAAGGAAGAGGAATTCCATATATTTCTTGTCGCCGTTCTTTCAATGCAGATTCGCGTAGGTAATTCGCGGTGGGAGGACTAGGCTGCTCCGTTGATTTAGTTCTTTCTGACGCATTTGTGAGTGTGACACGGATATGTGTTGAAGAAAAAGTGCATGTGACGTGATGGCATCCCCGTGCCGTCGTCTTACACCTGTACCGTCGGGAACAATCGCGCGCTCCATCTTTTATGCAACGTCAAAGGCGCGCCGAGTGTGTGAATCGCGAGTTTTCTTTGATCTGTTCAGACAGATTGGATAAAATGAAAAACATCGACCATGATTACTGGATATTTTGTAACAGCTACTTAACGGTCGCGTGGGTGAGTTGATATTCCCATATAGGCAGTCTGCGATAATCGTATCGCGATGTAATATTCCATTACAACGGAGTTGGCTTCACAAAATCTGCATTGCGATAAAGATGACGACGATTCGTTCCGTGAAAGGCTAAATTTTCCAGAAGGTCTCGGCCATAGTGATGATGTTCGAAGGTATGTTCGTATTGTCTGAGCATAAAGCCATAGATGTAAATTACGCGTTGCGGGCTGGGATCATGCCTGAGCGGCCGACGTGACTTCCGAATCATCGCCTGACGAAAGTCAGCGTAAGCACGACGAAATGACACAGTCCTTATGCAACGCTCCCTCCGGATCACCAGCGGCAATCGTTTCGTAACCTTGAATTCTATCGACCGAAGGTAGCATCATCGGCATTCAGCCGATCCGCGTAAAAATGTCACGGATTCGATCGGTTCTGGGAAGCTCCCTGACGTGTTTCAACCTCGATCGGGCCGATTGACTCACGCGATCGCCGCCGCTTCGCGAGGATAAGGCGCGCGCGTTAACGCACATCTCGCAAATTAGGCTTAATCTCTACGTTCGGCTTTCCGCGCAAATTAAATATTCCTCTCGGTAGTCTCGCGCGCGCGCATAAGGAGCGCTCTATTTCAGGCAAGGACTAACGCACCAGGCTTCCTTCTTGAACCGCTTCCTTCCTACCCCGACTCCTTTCCTGCGTCGCCGAGCTCGCGGGCTGCGAGAGAAATCTACGAGGTCGTGATCTTACGGAACGATCTCGATCGTTGGGAGTCAAGTGCACCGTCCCTTCTCGGCCGACCTCCGGTTGCTCGGTTGCCCCAAGGCGAAAAGTTACGTGGCTTTTATAGCTTGATCTCTCACGAGTTGCTATCATGGACATATCGTGAAATTCGTTGTTTAAACAGATCGGCGCGTGCTTCGTCCCACATCGTGCCGATATCGGTAACTTTATTAGAGCCGCGCCCGACCTTTATACGTCACCAATTAATTTCGAATTTTTTGTCCGCAGTAAAAGAGAAACAGTGCTGCTATTCTTGGACAAGAACGGATGTGAATCAACAGATTGTAGGTGCGAGATCACGCGCGAAAATGTCGATAAGACATAAGACAGAGTTAATTAAGTGAAATTGCCTTGAATCTTACAATTTATTAGATGTTTATAGATAATGATTTCTTTGAATTTATTTCGGATATCTTTAATGAAAAGTTAAAGTTTTAGCAATTATTTACATAGCAATTTTTCAGGATATTATTACACGGAAAGCCTATAATTTCCAATTTCCTTAATTCGACAATATTAATGTCTCCCGAGATATTTGTGTCAAGAAAAAAAAATTAGCCTTAATTGGCTCTAAGATTCTGTATGTATATGAAAGGAAATGCAAAAAGCAGGAGCATTCTGCACACTTACGATTATGCTCGCCATACAATTAGTCATCTCTACAGTTGCTCGCTACCCATTTTCTTAAGTATATACCAGAGGACAAAGTCTTTGCGTACGAGTCGATTAAAGTTATTAGCCGTATTTCGCAAGCGGACATTAATCGTCGCCGACAAGTCCTGGGATCGTCGTCGGAAAAAACGAGTACATCCTTACGTGCAATTTGTACGGTTTCCATTAATGGCGGTTGCGCCTCGATTGAAATTTAAATGTGACTGCGAGTTATCGCGCGTGCGGCGCACCTACGCTCATCGCGCGATTTAACGACTTACGCTCGTATCTATCACGATTGATTGCGTGCCGGGAAATTCTTCTTAACCCTTTTTATCGTGCGATTTTTTTCTCGGCAAAAAATCGCCGTATTTTATAAGCCTGACTTCTAGATACTTTTATTTCTATCTAAGTTACAGAGTGTAATCAACGTCACCGTATTCCACAATTATGCATTACCGTATTTATAGCTCTGACAGAAAGCGTTGGTCATCCTTAACCGCATCTTGATAACTCGATATTTCTCTGCAGTTAATTTTTCAAATATGTTATTAATAACCGTACTTTTAAAGAAACCTGAGCAAAGTATCTTTATTCGAGATATTTCTTTTCTCTTTCTTTTAGATTTTTCTCTTAGATTATTGATGAGACATGACAGAAACATTTTAAAAATACCTTATTTCCTATATAATTAGGTGTAGCACAATACTTTTATTTGAGATCTCGTTGACGGAAATGAATGGGCCGCACGCTTCCGAGATTTTTTTTTTTTTACTTTGAGCACGATCTCATTTTACAAATCTATTCGGCAACTTTTGACGGAACAAGGCCACGTTTTCGACAGCTTCCTGATCCATTGCTGCCGGGAGAAACACGCGCGCGCGCGCGTGCGTACGCGCTGGCCCCGCACGCGTGCACGCGGTAAAAATGCGTACGTTCAATGGTATATCGATCTTTTTCAATCGCGAGCAAGGTCGAAAGGGATTGGTTTTACCATGCTCTTTCTTCTCTACATCACGTCGCGCTATCCACTCGCCGTCTTTATTCTCTCCACGCCGTTTCTCTCCTCGCGTGGCGTATTTCGTCGGTCGCCCACTCGGCGCCGATACGCGAACCTTCGCTTCGAGAAATTAATTGCACGCCCGTCTACCTGTCCCTGCGTGCGTGCCACCTCTCTGTGCCTCTTCTCGACTTGCTCAAGAGTCTACGCAGGCTGATGCTACGACGCTCAATGCACGTACGCGCGCCTCTCTCGTGGACGATGGATGTGTCTGCGCGGGCCGCGACAAACCACTTGCGAGATACGTTTGTGCGAGGATTTTCCGGGATGGGCTCGGCAAAGGTTGTCTCTCGAGAATGAATGCGTCAAGTACCGATTAACGTCAGAAAGCTTGAAAAATGTCTTTTGTATCCTAACTCGACCGATAAACGTTACAAACCACACAGACGTTCTATACCGTGCCTCGACTTAACCCTACGCACTGACATTTGTTCACATCTGACAGTTTGACTCCTCGGCAAATTCGACGGTAAACTCTATGGCTTATGCAGATTATGTAGATTCTATTTGCTCGTTCGAGTAGTCGCGCGCGTGACAAAGTGCACGCGACAATGACACGCATGAATATTCAAGCGAGGATCATCAAATGTTCGGTCTGCCGCTCGCGAGAATACCGGTCGCGTATGCAGATTCCCGTAGCTGTGGAAGATAACGCGTTAGAAATCGCGTATTTACAATTTACATGTGTGAGTGATCGACTTTACGAGTACAGCCATTGACTACGACGAGATGTCTTGTTAATTTCAAGTTGAAACGCCGCACAACGAGTCGAAGAAACACGATCGTAGTCTAGTTAACGTTACCGGTCGTAATCATGTGCGTCTCCTACAACTAACTTGTATGCGTAATTGCTAAATTGCCGTAATCGCTAATTGCCGTCCCTAATTACATTTTTGCCGGCGGACCAGACGGCATACGTCA